TGATATTTATTTAATTAAATATATGTTGAATTGCCTATAAAGAAAATATCAATTAAATTATAACGCTATACTGCTTAAATATGGCCCTCAATAATTATGTATCTACAAATGCACACTGCCAAGTTCCTAAGTTAAGACCTTATAATTACTGTGTGCATTTTTGGATACATTGTCAAACTTATAACACTTTAACATTTATAATAATGTGTATATAAATTTAAAATATCCCTAGAAAAGAATTATACAATAAGAATTATTTATTCATTTTAGGTCAACACACGAACACAAAAAATATTAACGTTGGTCCCAAAACCTAGGGCGAGCTCAGATGTTGAGAAAAGTGATTCTTCTGATACTGAAATAACGAGAATTAATGCAGATGGTGATGATAGTTTAGATCCACCTTCATTGCCCTCATCACTAGAAAATCTACACTTATTATCGGACAGTGAAGACGAATACAGGGTAGTTTTAGTAACAGCTCAAGATTCAAATATTGCGAAGAATGTAAGTTTATCACCATCTAGTGTATCTGCTTCTCTATCAAATATTGCACAAAATATTACTATTCCACCGACTCCTTCACCAGTATCTTCTTCAATAGGAAATAGCTCCATACATGCATCAGTGCCTTCACCTTTTAATGCTACTCGATCCAAGAAAAGAACATTTGTAGTTAAGAAAACTATAGTAAAGAAAAAGAAGCTGGAGGTTAAGTGGACTACTGCAAAATTCAAACATACTGCCGAAATTGAAGATAGAATATTTAACAAGCCATTGGAAACTAAATCACCTTTAGAATACTTTAAATTGTTTTTTCGGAGGACATATTCGAATTAATGGTACAAGAAACTAATTTATATCATATGCAATTAAGAACTACACCTTTGAGTGTAACTTTAGATGAAATAAAGGACTTTATAGCTATCAATATCCTTACGGGTGTTGTACGTCTACCGGCCTATACTGATTATTGGTCTAAAGCACTTAGATATAGCAAAATAGCAGATATTATGATATTGAAAAGATTTGAACAAATTCGACGTTATGTGCATTTTGTGGATAGCCTAAGTGACGATAGTGATCGTTATTATAAAATTAGACCCTTATTAGAGAAAATCCGACAAAATTGTCTGAAAACTGAAGAGGAGAACCGATTTAGTGTCGATGAAATGATGGTGCCTTACAAGGGTACAAGAGCTGGTACTCGAAAGCAGTATATAAAAAATAAACCGAGAAAATGGGGGTATAAGATATTTGTTCGGGCTGGAGTATCGGGAATCGTATATGACTTTTTGGTTTATGGAGGAGAAGACACGTTTAGATATCATAAATTCAATGAGGAAGAAAACAGCCTAGGGTTAGGATCGAAAGTTGTCATAGCTTTATGCAAGTCGATCAAGGAGCCTGCATGCAGTGTGATATACTTTGATAATTTTTTTACATCCATAGAATTAGTGCATTACTTAAGAAATGAATACGGTATATTTTCATTAGGGACCATGAGAACAAATCGTCTTCGAGGTGGTGACAAAAAGCTTCCTACTGATAAAGTTTTGAAAAATAAAGGCCGTGGAGCGTTTTCACAGATTACTTCAAATGAGAGAAAAGTCGCTGTTGTTAAGTGGTTTGACAATAAGTGTGTTACTATGGCTTGTTGACGCTCAGCCAGTTCATCATGTATTGAGATACAATAAAAATACAAAACGCAAAGAGCCTGTTCCAGCTCCGAACATAATTCGTCAGTACAATGCTTATATGGGTGGTGTAGACCTTGCGGATATGTTAATTGCTCTTTACCGCACCGAAATGAGAGCACATCGATGGTACATACCTTTATTTTCGCAAATGCTTGATATTTGTATCAACAACGCATGGCTTATTTATCGACGAGAGAGTAAATGTCCGAGACCCATGAAACTAAAGTATTTCAGATGCGCAATAGCCGACAGTCTCACTACTTTGGACCGAACTGTTAATAATGTCAAATCAGATGTAAAAAGATTTGTGACCCCTTACCATCACATGGATACACGTTATGACCAAGTAGGTCACTTGCCATCATTTACAACAAAAGGACGATGTAAGTTTTGTGTTAAGGGTCAAACCAAATTTATATGCCTTAAATGTCAAGTTAGACTCTGTTTAATGGAAGATCGTAACTGCTTTTATGACTATCACAATAAATGACTACTATTTTTATGTTTTAAGAAATATTAAATAAAAAACTTTAAAAATATAAAGTATTTTCACTTCTTTACTAGTCAAGTAAAGTATCTAATAATGCACAAGCAATCCAAATTATGAATTCTTATCTACTTGGCAGTGTGCATAATAAGATACATGGCATAACACTAAAACCAATTATGCATTATTTTTTTTAATATTTTTCTGGTGACCATTTATTACATAAAAACTCAAATATATACAAAGAACAAAAAAATTATGACATTTATTTCTCTGTCGAGTTAAGGGTTAAATAGATACATATTATAGATAAACTACACCCAGACACAGAAGAAATTTTATTTTATGAAATAAATGATCAGATGATGTCCTATCCTGTCCGTCCTATAACAAACGTGACCTCGAACTCTTTGTGCCATTGCAATCTCAGTCCTATGTCGCATCCGAGATTAGCGAAGCAAGGCCGAGAGAGCCCTATTCGTTGTCCATAACTCATTTTGTCTACATCCGGTTTGACAATTATTATGTACATTCCCAGATAGGTTTGGCGGCAGACAGACTTTACCCTTTTTTTTTTTTTTTTTTTCCGTGCGGAAATCCCCTCGGATACCCTCGGTGGCATGTCGAACTCGAACCGACTAAAACCGCACGCCGTCTCGGGTACAAATAGCCGGGGAACCAGGTATACCCTAGAAAGGAAGTCCCTGGTGCCCCGACATACCTCGGGTCATCTACAGACGAGTAGACGACCCCCCCCCCCCTCGTGTGGGAAAGACAGACTTTACCCAGCCAAAACTAGCTAACTATAGTGTCAAAATAAAGCCATGTGCTGAGATGATGCGGATGATCTTAGACTGACAAATGCTCGATCGGAGTGATCCACGGTCTTACAGAAAATCGATGTTAACCAATTTTTTTTTTTTTTAAAGATAACTCCCGCATTAGGAATAAATCCTGTGTCGCGGGGGACTTTACAAACATACATGAAACGGACACAAAGAACACCCAGACTCAGAACAACAATTTGTGGATCACACAAAGTGTCGTCCCATGTGGGGTTTGAACCCACAACACTCGGCGCAGTAGGAAGCGACGTGGCGACCGCTTAAACCACTACGCCATCCGTGCAGTCAAATTCTTTCTATGCTATTCGCTGAGTAAGTGAAATTACCGGACCCCAAAACCTTATCTGTTATTTTGCCTTCTTCCATTGTCGCCTTGATATCCAGAGTCAGTTTGAGCAACGCTCTTCCTCTACTCCCTGTCCTAGTTGGATTCTTATCCTGACAGGTATACGCTAATCATTTGCTTTTGTAGAAAGATACAACTTAATTGCCACATCCTGCTATTTACATACAATAGCAAAATATCGTTCACATGGTTCTGTCTATTAAAATGGCTAAATTACACATAATTGATCCATATGGGGCTTCCACTCACAACAGACGGGCGCAGCGTCTATTGGCGTGGTAACTTTAACCGTTGTAGCAGTCGTACTATTTTTTTTTAAATTATGTCAAGTGTTTTAGTACATTCATTTGATATTTTGAAAATTGAAATTTTAACGGGAGTTTTTTAAAATTGATAATTGTATAGATTTTGGTGTGCCCTTTCCAAATTTAAACTGAGACACTTCGTATCTTTAAAAAACAGCACTTAATGGCAGTCGGTCGCTTAATCAGATAGCGATGCAGAGAAAGAGTGAGGTAGGTGCATTTATGGGGAGGTAATAAATGATAGAGACTTTATTAAATAGCAACTATTTTGACTTTTGAACAGACAAATGTATACAGTATCTATACATACATACACACATGCATATATGTATATATATAAATTTATGTATATATTGTTATAAAATATGTTAATTCTAGGTGATAAACTAAGAACTCGTCGAATCTGTCATGAACTGGAACGGGAAATGTTCTCTAAGTTTAATATTGTAGTAAATGTTTTATCATGAAATGTGTCACAATATGCGAAAATTAGTCGGGTAATATTTTCTATATTACCGAAAAACTGGTAAAATGATACGAGATGGCAAAGTTGAAGTTCGGAAAGAGCATATCAAAATCTATAATGATATCAATTTTTAAATGCATCATGCTAAATGACTGAACTAACGTTTTTTTTTATGGTACGGTGGGCCAATGAGCAAATGGGTCACCTGATGGTAAGGGACAGCACTTTGCCCTGCCTCCCTGCCCTTAAATTAATAATAATATTAGGATGAGGGGGGTTTGGACTTCGCATTTTAAACCAATTAAAGAGCAATTTTAATCTACATTAAATGCACGACGTATTTAATGTATTTAATTGGATAAGGAATAATATTGTATTGTTTAAAATAGCTTCGTAAATAACCCGTTATTTTTGTTTAATATCTAAAAGATAAAAATAGTAACTGTGGGTTATCTTTAGGAGAAAGACATAGACTATTTTGTAGATCTTTTTAAGATATACAATTACGTAGTACATTATTTTTGTTATTATTTATCCGTTTAGATAGCGTTTGTAATGTCAACGGACAAAACATGTTTTTTACAATAAATCTCTGAAATTATCAAATTTTCTCTACTATAATATGCATGTATTTTACATCTACTTACAACATTTTTATCATCAATCTTCCTCTTGAATCATTCTCTCTATTGGTGAAAACCGCATTAAAATCCGTTGCTTAGTTTAGAAGACCTACGCGTACAACACAAAAAAACCGATTTCTTTTATACTACGTAAAGATTAAGATTTTCTTATTCACACAAAATATGATTTAAAAGCTCTAAATTGGAATCATGTAGTAGTTAACTCACCTGTATCCAACTTCCTCGGCAGCAAAGATATAGTTCGATGAGAAGGCAGTATTAGAGGCATAGGCCAAACCAAGCAACATCATCAGCTGTAGATGGTACGGGCTGAAGATACCAAATTTGCCAAGGACATCGTCTAAATTTATCGTCTGTATCTCTTCACAAGCCATATTATGGTGTTATGTTTTTAAGTAAATCTGAACCCGTAGTGGCTTTTTAAATGTCAGTTCATCATGTTTTTTTTAATTCTTTGCCTCTTGATGATGTTCTAATTTTAAAAAATGTTTTTAGTTTTTACTTTTTAAAAATAAATTTGGTTTCGTATTTCGAATTGAATTTTTGACACATACACATTAGGTTGTTCCTGTGTTTTTATTTCTATTTAATTATTTTTTTAAACACTTAACGAACGTTTTGTTGTCACTTTTATCCACACACACAAATAGTATTCTATAATTAGAGTAACGAAACGTATCACAAGCCTTCACTCCAAGACCGCAATAATGAATTTAAATTTCATTTTACAGCAAAGGTAGGTACGGATTGGTCTACGTACAAATGCATTGAACCGATTGTAACGACTGCTATTCACGGTGCGACTGTGATTATACCGACCATCCGTTGTTATGTACACAGATATACTACTGATGTTTTGGCGGTCAGTAATAATGTGGTCGACCACTTATATGTTCTATTGACAATACTAAATGAGATTCATGGTGTTCATAATAGATGTAGCCATCAAGGTAACATAAAAATATACTATATAGTTTGTCTTTATGAAGGTTATTGTGATTGTGTATGCTGTCGTTATGGTCAATATCTGTGAAAAAAGAACGTGAGCGGATAGGTCAGTAAAAAAAATTAGGGACTACTTACGGAGAGGGGGGATTTCGGCTCCGGTAAATCAAATCAAATCAAATAATTTATTTTGCGAACATGGGTATACATATTCAGGTGTTAATAAAGGTATAACAATGAGCAGCCACATTCTACCTCACGGCGTGCAAAGAAAAAAAATAGTTTTTACAAAAATACATAATAAAAGAAAAACATAGGTATGGTAAATTTGCGTAGTCAATCTATGATACAATAAATTTTAATAAACAAATGTCAGCTATTTCATGTCAAAACCATGATTTCCCTTTGTACAATTCTGTCATTCATAAAGTCAGTAACACTGTAATAACATTTCGCAACCAAGATATTTTTTAATTTATTTTTAAATAAGTCAATATTAAATTTAACCTCACTCACTCAGTGAAAGGCAACGAAAGAATTGCTTAACACCGGTTTTCTGTGAGGCCGTGGTATCGGTCGAGCTGGCCCATTCGTGCCGAAGCATGGCTCTCCCACGGTAAAATCTTATCTACATCTAATAAATTTGGAACAGGTCGATGTCTGTTAAAACAACGGTATTTAGAATCTTTGTCTGTGCGTTTGTGTGCACTAATTTCAGAAATGGCTTAATCCGTATACACTTAGATGTTGTAGTAAACTTCACATAAAATTTTGTGTATTGTTTTATTCCAATCGGTTAACAAATAAAACATTTATATCAATTTAAAAAATTACGTCTAAAATTGACTGTCGTTTATGTGTAATGTACTCACTTATAATAACTGTATGTAGATACTAATAATAATACTATTCTACCATATTCACACAACGCTATCTAGTCCCAAACTAAGCAGAGATTGTACTATGGGTACTAGACAACTGATTTAAATACATAAATACTTTTTTTGTACATACATATTATACATAGAAACACAAAACCAAACCAAACATTAAATGTTCATGCACACAAATGTTTGACTTGAGCGGGAATCGAACCCGCGACCTTTGGAATAGCAGTCCGTTACACAAACCACTACGCCATCCGCCATACGATTAATGAGCGCAATAACAAATCGTAACGTGAACAGCTAAAAGATTGTTATAAATAGATACCTAACATGACCTCGCTAAAAACAATGCATGCCTTTAATTATACGAGATTTGCCATTGTCGTTCGAGCTGTTGAAGGCAAACCTGTGTCACAAAGTAGCAGTTTTGGTGGCTGACAAAATATAATTAACACATTAGAAATATAATATTTGTATCTTATTACAAAATGTGTGATTTTAACATAAGTATTTGACTTATGTTATATATTAATATACTTGACTGTACACTCAGCGCAGTAGTAAGCGGCGTGGCGACCGCTTACTACTGCGCTGAGTGTTGTGGGTCAAATCCCCACATGGGACGACACTTTGTGTGATCCACAAATTGTTGTTCTGAGTCTGGGTGTTCTTTGTGTCCGTTTCATGTATGTTTGTAAAGTCCCCCACGACACAGGATATATTCCTAATTCTTAAAAAAAAAGTCTTTGATAAAAAAATGTATGTACTTTCTAATTACTAGATTTCTAATTACTAGAAACAGTTTTTATGTAATTATTTAGTTGGTTTTGTTATTTGTTTCCTATTTATTATTACTATTTGTGACATCGCGAACAAAAAACTAAATTGTCTGCCTCGGTGGTGCAGTGGTAGCGTATACGACTGCTGTGCTAAGGTCTCGGGTTCGATTCCCGGGTCGGACCAAAATTTTGGATGATGTTACAGAGTTGTGTGTTTTCTATGTGTAATATGTATGTATTTACAAAAAAGTATATAAGTATTCTATCAGTCAATCTAGCTTTCATAGTACAAGCTCTGCTTAGTTTGAACTAAATGGCACTGTGTGTCAGATGTCCGAAAAAAAAAAATGACTGAAAATGTCCGTTAGGCTCTATTAAACTCACTCTCTGATTGAACAGTGAACCGCAGCCAAAGAAATCTTGAGCATTTCTTTCGCTGCGGTTCACTGTTGCGTCACGAGTTTTCTGTGAGGTCGTCATATCACTCCGGCCAAGACAGCAAATACGTGCCGAATGATGACTATCCTACAGTTAAAAGCGGTACTTACATCACGTACGGGACATTAAGTATATTGTGTAATTTACTACTTTGTTTACAAATGCTATTTAAATAGCTTTTTCCCGCGGCTATCCTATGTGTTGCCTCAAGAATCAAAGTCTCTGCATGCCAAATTTCATTTATCTCGATTCAGCGCTTATTAATTTCCCTTACGAAATTCCTCCGTCCTTTTCACCCTCTTAAAGGGTACTTTCTGAGATAAAAATTATGCTATGTCCCGAAATGTATGTGATGAAATTAGGTATAGTGATAGTTTGAGTTCCGAGACAGGTCCCGGGACTCAAAATATCGCTTCACCTAATTTTATCTAAATCGGTTTAGTGGTTTAAGCGTGAAGAGGTAACAGACAGACACACACAATAACAGTATAGATATGTACTAGTAAAGATTAAATTTTATTAATCTCGCTACCTTTTGAAGGTCTCAGGAAGCCGAAGTAAAGAACCGATTGTTGTGGAAAGCCTTGGAGAGACCTATGTCCAGCATTGGAAGTCTTTCGGCCCAAGAAATCCCCCTAGATTGGTTATTTTTTACTGTTGACGTTGAAGGCTAGTACAACAACAAGGCTAATACATTTTCGAGGAATAATTTACACTACATAAACTACTACTACTTTCAATAAACTACTACATCAAGTTACACGAGTGTAAGCCAAATAAGTGACACAGATTTTATGCCATCTATAAAACTTAATTGTGTCAATATCTTACAGATAAATCTTGTTTAAAGTATTTGCAAAATACATTTTTTTTTCAACATCTTATTAACGTACAAAGGTTATATTCAAATAAATTTTCTATAAGTTCAAAAAGAAAAATCCTTTAACGTAAAAAATCGTGGGGTGCTAGATCTCAATTGTTGTAAAAATATTTTAATGACAGAAATTGGTAAGAGTAAAGTTATCTTATTTTAAAATACCTTGAAAATCATCCACTCTTTGTTACGATAAATTGATTTTGTATTTGAACTTATAGAAAATTATTTCTAGCTTTTTATTTCGGCTACCCACAAAACCGTGTAGTATTTTAAACTATAATTATTTTCTTAATTTTTAGTCATTAATGATGATTATTATCTTATTAAGACTAAAAATAACAAGTAAGTTTGTCACATATGCCTCAGTATATGCGTTAGTACGTGGCAAAAGATATTACCGTATTTTTAAGTATGGAAAATCTTGATCTGATGAGGATAACGGGACAAACTATTTTTAACTATTGCAATGTTATCGGTCCTTGATAATTGTGTTAAGTTTCAATATAATTCGACATTTTGAAGTGGGTCAAGATCATGTTTGAAGATTCCGTAACATAGATACATATGTACATACATATATACCAAGCTAATAATAAGAAATAGGAAAGCATGTTATCAAAACTTACAATTGCATGTGTCGCCTTACTGTTAATTATATAGTGTAAATACAATGGTGTATCATTTGAATTGTTAACACTAAAATCCTACTTTTTTGTAATAAATACAGCTTAAAAACACGGCTTAAATACCAAGCACGTACTTCCTAAGATAATTTTTCAGTTAATCTTTCAGTTCTTAACTTTATCCGGTGTACCTTCGAATGAAGTCTATCATTGATCCAGGATCAGATAAGAATCCAGTAATAAATGACACCGGAGCGATAATCTTCAAAATTTACATAAGCCTCGACTTTTCTGCGAGTTTTAGAGCGACCTCGAATGTGTAATTTTTTTGGAGAAACACTCCTAAAGAATTTTTATTATGAGGATACAAACTGGCCATTTTCTTACCCACTTTAGACGTTTCTCTATCCGATTTGTACTTGTATATATATTTTATTAGTAACTAGATCTTACTACGTACGTTAAGAATATAAAAGAAATGTTTGCTTTGTAATATCTTGACTATTTAAAGTTCAGTACAAAGCATGTCTCTTTCAAAACTAGTATGGTTAGTGGTACTTGTTTCTGTACAAAGACAAATCTCGAGAATTGTAAGTGATCCCGACATCGCAAGCAGAATAGAACCTCTTAGCCTTTTGATAACTTTAAACTACCTTTGTGTATTCTATGTACACATTCTTACAATTTATTTATGAAAATATTCTAAATGTAGGTTACAGTATGCTGTTGTCGTACGAATGTACGACTTGCTTTAAGAAACAAAGTTAACAAAGGGTAGCAAACTCAACAAGTTTGTTTTATCTATTGAAAGACGGTTTGCTATTT